TAGTAGTAGTAGTAGTAGTAGTAGTAGTAGTCGTAGTCGTAGTCGTAGTCGTAGTCGTAGTCGTAGTCGTAGTCGTAGTCGTAGTCGTAGTAGTAGTAGTAGTAGTCAGTAGTAGTAGTAGTAGTAGTAGTAGTAGTAGTAGTAGTAGTAGTAGTAGTAGTAGTAGTAGTAGTAGTAGTAGTAGTAGTAGTAGTAGTAGTAGTACGTAGTCGTAGTAGTAGTCGTAGTCGTAGTAGTAGTAGTAGTAGTAGTAGTAGTAGTAGTAGTAGTAGTAGTAGTAGTAGTAGTAGTAGTAGTAGTAGTAGTAGTAGTAGTAGTAGTAGTAGTAGTAGTAGTAGTAGTAGTAGTAGTAGTAGTAGTAGTAGTAGTAGTAGTAGTAGTAGTAGTAGTAGTAGTAGTAGTAGTAGTAGTAGTAGTAGTAGTAGTAGTAGTATGAGGAGGAGGAGGTAGAGGAGTAGGAGTAGGAGGAAGAGGACGAGCTCCTCCTTCGAGGTATAGATGTAGGGTTTAGATCTACGAGGTATAGATGCTAGGAGCTCCGGAGGAGGAGAAGGAGGAGGAGGAGGAGGAGGAGGATATTGAAGCTGAGGAGGGAGGGACCCCCGTGTTACTTGGAATGATCCCTCCTGGTGGGGAAGAGATACAGGGAAAGGGCTTTCCCTTGCGCGTATGGGTTCGCACGAGACGAACTGGTGGTGTGTGGAAGTTGCCTGGACATGGTATGGGATAGCTAGATGTTGCTCGGGCTTCGCTCGAACAAGAAACTATAATCTCGACTCTGCAAGGGTCTCGCTCGGCAGGCCTCTCGAACACGCGGACAGGGTCGGGGGATTTCAGCGTCTTGACTGCGTGCGCAGCTAGGAAAACTGACCAGAGTGGACTCCGGGACGGGTCTCGGGGGCAAGTTTCAACGGATGCCGTCGTCTCGGTGAGTGTGTGTTTGTGTTTGTGTGTGTGTATGCGTGAGTGCGAGTGCGTGTGAATGCGTGTGTGTGTGTGTGCGTCACAAGAAATTCAGGCGTCGAGCTTTTCCAAATGTTTGACGTCTGGGGGCCGCTTCTGGGCCCCGGGGCCGTCGGAGGATCAGTCTGGGCAGAAGCCTTTTTCTCAGGTTGATTTTGTCCTCTTCCTCTTCGTTTCTCCTCCATGTCGCGCGCTTCATGTTGTTGGCACTTTGTTCATCTTTGTTCATGCTGCACGCTGTCCTTGGGCTTCACGTAACACAAGTATAGAGCATCAGGGGTAGCTTCATGAAACTCTGTCCGCCACGCGAAGCGAAACGAAACGAAGGGAGCGAGAGCCTGGGGTCACGAATGCATCAATGCTCAGTCCTGGCTCGACCACGCCACCGGCCACCCTATCGCCCGGTAGGCACCAGAAAGTTGGCAAAACCACGGCCCATGGCAGCTGGCTGCGCAGATCGCAGCGCTGGCCCGCCGCTCTCGGCAGAGGCCTCCTCGCTGGCGTTGTGGGGTTCCGCCGCCGCTGGCGAAGACCTTGCCGCCATGCCGCCCGCCACCAGCTTGGCGGGCCCACCAACGCCGCGTTCGGCACCCGCGCTCGCCGCTGTCGGCACGGCGGTCGCACAGCCGGTGGCGGAGCGCCTGGGCCCGCTGAAGTGCCCGACGAACTTCAAGGGTGGCGTCTGGGGCCTGCTGGGGGGGGCGTTCTCGTTCATGTGCGTGGTCAGGATGGACGGCTTCGGCCACTGGTCCCGCGTGTTCGATTTCTCCCTGGAGGCGGACGACGACAGCATCACGGCTGGGGCCATCGAGCTCACCCAGGACCTGCATTTCACCATCTTCCGGGGTAGAATGCCTTTCTCTGTGCGCGCGGACAATTTCTTCGAGCCAGGGCGTGAATTCACGATGCTGTGCACGGTAACGGCGTCGGGACACATGAAGGTTTTCAAGAACGGCGTTCTCGTGGGCGAGAACCCGCGCGGGATGGCCCCTCTGCTCACCCCGAGGCCGCGCATGGTCGTGGGCGGCCACTTCAAGTTCCGAGACCAGTGCTTTCGCGGCAGCCTGCGGGACGTGCAGATCTGGGACCGGGCGATCTCTTGGGCAGACGCCGCGCGCTGTCGAGTCCACGTCTAAGCTTGTGGGCTTGTGGAAGTCGATTAATGGAGAGGAAGCATGCTGCCAGATAATTTCCAGATGTCTAAAACATGTTTCAAACATGTTTTAGAACAGTAAAGACATGTTTGACATATTTTCGGAACACGTTTTACACATTTCAAACCCCTTTTTAATGCAATGATAGGATTGTTAGATTGTCAATTGTCATGGCATCCACAAGTCTAAGCACGTGCCCACCCAGCGGGGGTCTCCTGGGCCACCCCCCAGGGGCGCGCGCATGACTGCGCTTCGCGCGCCGCGGCCCTGGAAGCAACCGCTGGGCAGCGGCCCCTCGCCCAGGCGGGCCCTCCGAGGGCGCGGGGGCGCCGTCACACGCCGTGCCTCGCGGGGCGCGCTCCCCGCAGGCGGGTGCCCGCGGCCTCCGCCTCGCTGGCTTCCCGGCTCCTCCTCGCCCTCCGCCGGGCTTCGGCCCGCGTTGGCCGGGGGGAAGCTGCGCGAAGCGGACGAGCTTTTTGTCCTGCGGGAGGGCGCGCCGTTCACAGTACTCTCGGGGGGGGGGGGAGGAGAAGGGGTCTGGGGCAGTGGGCGTCGGCCGCTTGCTCGCCCAGGTGGCCCCTCCGAGGGCGCGGGGCTGACGTCACATGCCGTGCCTCGCGGGGCGCGCTCCCCGCAGGCGGGTGCCCGCGGCCTCCGCCTCGCTCACTTCCCAGGTCCTCCTCGGCCTCCGCCGGGCTACCGCCCGCGTGGCCGGGGGAAGCTGCTCTCTTTTCTTACCTTTAAGTCGGGCCTGTCCCTCTACAGGAGAAGCAACCTAACAGCGATGTGTATAAGCATATCTGGAAACATTTCCCTTAAGATTCATGTGAGAATCCAGTTGTAGAACTCTGCTGTTCTCGCAGTCGCAGTCGCATTCGCAATGACAGTCGCAGTGGCAACGGCCTTAGGATCCAATGGAATCCTGAGGATTCCTAGGGAATCCTAAGGATTCCTACCTGAGCCTGCTTCGGCCTCAGCCTCAGCCTGCCTCAGCCTCAGCCTGCCTCAGCCTCAGCCTCAGCCTCAGCCTGTCTCAGCCTCAGCCTGCCTCAGCATCAGCCTCAGCCTCAGCCTCAGCCTCAGCCTGCCTCGGCTTGCCTCGGCCTCAGCCTCAGCCTGCCTCGGCCTCAGCCTCAACCTCAGCCTGCCTCTGCCTCAGCCTCAGCTTGCCTCAGCCTCAGCCTGCATCAGCCTCAGCCTCAGCCTGCCTCAGCCGCAGCTTGCCTCTCAGCCTCAGCCTCAGCCTCAGCCTGCCTCAGCTTCAGCCTCAGCCTCAGCCTGCCTCAGCCTCAGCTTGCCTCGGCCTCAGCCTCAGCCTCAGCCTGCCTCAGCCTCAGCGTCAGCCTCTCAGCCTCAGCCTGCAGCCTCAGCCTCAGCCTCAGCCTGCCTCAGCCTCAGCGTCAGCCTCTCAGCCTCAGCCTGCATCAGCCTCAGCCTCAGCCTCAGCCTGCCTCAGCCTCAGTCTCAGCCTGCCTCAGCCTCAGCCTGCCTCAGCCTCAGCCTCAGCCTGCCTCGGCCCCAGCCTGCGTCAGCCTTAGCCTCAGCCTGCCTCAGCCTCAGCCTGCCTCAGCCTCACCCTCAGCCTGCCTCGGCGTGCCTCAGCCTCAGCCTCAGCCTCAGCCTCAGCCTGCCTCGGCCTCAGCCTGCCTCGGCCTCAGCCTGCCTCAGCTCGGGCATTCAAATTATGGTACAGGACTGGTGTTCTGGGAACACGAAGATCACGAAGTGGTCCACAGTTGGCTCCGGGCAATCAAAATATGGTACAGGAATGGCGTTCTGGGAACACGAAGAACACGAAGTGGCCTGCAGTTGGCTCCGGGCATTCAAACTGTGGCCTGGGAATGGTGTTCTGGGAACACGAAGAACACGAAGTGGCCTACAGTTGGCTCCGGGCATTCAAAATGTGGCCTGGGAATTGTGTTCTGGGAAGACGAAGAACACGAAGTGGCCTACAGTTGGCTCCGGGCATTCAAAATGTGGCCTGGGAATGGTGTTCTGGGAAGACGAAGAAAACGAAATGGCCTACAGTTGGCTCCGGGCATTCAACATGTGGCCTGGGAATGGTGTTCTGGGAATGGATTCCTAAGGATTCCTACGAATTCCTAAGGATTCCTAAGGATTCCTGGGGCTGCCGGATCTGTCCCGATCCCCTGTCTGGATCCCGCCCAGACCCCCCCTGGGGCGTCAAGATGCTCTCTTTTGACCCCACTAGAAACCTATCAGCAAAAGCTGTTAGGTAAATATTCAAATTATCCCGGCAAAGCAACCTAACAGCGATGTGTAGAAGCATATCTGGGAGCGCAATCCCAGCTGTTGCAGTAGCAATAGCAATATACGTGCATACATATGTATACAAATACTTCATATAAGTACATACGTATGTATACATATTAAAACGTCCTGGATCCCCGCAACTGAGGCTCCAGAGGCCAGACGCCATGAAGGCAAATCTTGAAACGTCCTGGATCCCCGCAACTGGGCCTCCAGAGGCCGGAACCGCTGAGAAAAACCTTGTGTATCCTTCCTCGAATTCCTCCTTCCTCCTCCTCCTCCTCCTCGTCCTCCTCCTCCTCCCTCTGAGCACACCGTGGCGCTCGACAGGAGGCATCTCTCCTCCTCACTGCTCATGGGCTTTCGGATGCATCAGCCTGCCTCAGCGTCTGCCTCAGCCTGCCTCAGCCTCAGCCGCAGCCCCAGCCTCAGCCTCACTTGAGTTCCCCGATATCAGGCGTGGACCCGCGGCACCCCTGACTGACTTCCCCCATATCAGGCGTGCACCCGCGGCCCCCCCGACTGAGTTCCCCCATATCAGGCAAGCACCCGCGGCACCCGTCAGCTGAGTTCTCCCATATCAGGCGTGGACCCGCGGCACCCCCGACTGAGTTCCCCCATGTCAGGCGGGCACCCACGGCACCCCCGACTGAGTTCCCCCATATCAGGCGCGGATCCCCGGTTTTCCCAGGCATCCCCCGGATCCTGCCCAGACCCCCCTGGGGAATCAGGATGCTCTCTTTTGACCCCACTAGAAACCTATCAGTCTTCGCTGTTAGGTAAATAGTAAAATTATCCCGGCAAAGCAACCTAACAGCGATGTGTATAAGCATATCTGGAAGCATTCCCCTTCAGATTCAGGTGAGAATCCAGAATTCTGCTGTTCTCGCAGTCGCAGTCGCATTCGCAATGACAGTCGCAGTGGCAACGGCCTTAGGATCCAATGGAATCCTAAGGATTCCTAGGGATTCCTAAGGCATCCTTAGGCATCCTTAGGCATCCTTAGGAATCCATAGGAAACCTTAGGAATCCTTAGGAATCCTTAGGAATCCTGATTCCTTCGGATTCCTGAGGATTCCTAGGGAATCCTAAGGATTCCTACCTGAGCCTGTCTCGGCCTCAGCCTCAGCCTGCCTCAGCCTCAGCCTGCCTCAGCCTCAGCCTCAGCCTGTCTCGGCCTCAGCATGCCTCAGCATCAGCCTCAGCCTCAGCCTGAGCCTGCCTCGGCTTGCCTCGGCCTCAGCCTCAGCCTGCCTCAGGCCTCAGCCTGCCTCAGCCTCAGCCTCAGCCTGCCTCAGCCTCAGCCTCAGCCTGCCTCAGCCTCAGCCTCTGCCTCAGCCTCGGCCTCAGCCTCAGCCTGCCTCAGCCTCAGCCTGCAGCCTGCCTCAGCCTCAGCCTCAGCCTCAGCCTCAGCCTGCCTCGGCCTCAGCCTCAGCCTCAGCCTGCCTCAGCCTCAGCCAGCCTCTCAGCTTCAGCCTGCAGCCTCAGCCTCAGCCTCAGCCTGCGTCAGCCTCAGTTTCAGCCTGCCTCAGCCTCAGCCTGCGTCAGCCTCAGCCTCAGCCTGCCTCGGCCCCAGCCTGCGTCAGCCTCAGCCTCAGCCTGCCTCAGCCTCAGCCTGCCTCAGCCTCAGCCTCAGCCTGCCTCGGCGTGCCTCAGCCTCAGCCTCAGCCTGCCTCGGCCTCAGCCTGCCTCGGCCTCAGCCTGCCTCAGCTCGGGCGCTCAAATTTATGGCACAGGACTGGTGTTCTGGGAACACGAAGAACACAAAGTGGCCTGCAGTTGGCTCCGGGCATTCAAAATGTGGCCTGGGAATGGTGTTCTGGGAACACGAAGAACACGAAGTGGCCTACAGTTGGCTCGGGGCATTCAAAATGTGGCCTGGGAATTGTGTTCTGGGAAGACGAAGAACACGAAGTGGCCTACAGTTGGCTCCGGGCATTCAAAATGTGGCCTGGGAATGGTGTTCCGGGAAGACGAAGAAAACGAAATGGCCTACAGTTGGCTCCGGGCTTTCAAAATGTGGCCTGGGAATTGTGTTCTGGGAACATGAAGAACACGAAGTGGCCTACAGTTGGCTCTGGGCATTCAACATGTTGCCTGGGAATGGTGTTCTGGGAATGGATTCCTAAGGATTCCTACGAATTCCGAAGGATTCCTAAGGATTCCTGGGGCTGCCGGATCTGTCCGGATCCCCTGTCCTGATCCCGCCCAGACCCCCCTGGGGCGTCAAGATGCTCTCTTGTGACCCCACTAGAAACCTATCAGCAAAAACTGTCAGGTAAAACTATTGTTTTGCGACGATTTTTTTTTTGGGGGGGGGGGGATAATTTTTAAATATCTGAGGGTATTTTTGAGTATTTTTTAATTCGTCGTCCAAAATCCCCCTGTAGGGGGATAGGCCCGACTTAATCTTACCTGTCTGTGCCCAGTGTTTTATCGCTTTCGACCAGAACACGTGCAAGGCCAGCGATTATAGATGAGATGCCCCCAAGCCGCGCCTGCGGAGGATGACGCGGATGTCCGTCATTCTTGCCCGCTTTGGTCTGGCGCTGGCAGAATTGTGTCGTCCACGGACGGCCGATTACTTACACAACTTAAGCCCCTCTTGGGATGGCTCCTGTAACCACATCCTTTCGATTCCTCCCCTCCCTTCTCCTCTTTTCTCCTGCTGCCTCCCACCTGCGCCTCGATCTCCACGCGGTGCCCTCGTCAGCTCCCGACCCAGACCCTTGACGTCGTGTTTTTTGTTTTGTTTTGTTTTTCGCAACGTCGACCCCCAGAGGTCGTGACCCCTTTCCCCGGGACCAGTTTTGCGTCCCGAGTCGCTTTTTGGCGGTCCATGGGGCCCGCTAACGGCCTGCGGAGGCCGAAAGTAGCGAAACGCCGCCCGCCGCGAGCTCTCCACGACGCGAGGGGGTCTGGGGAGGCCTCCCCCCTCTTCGCGACCTCCTCCTCCTTCTCCTCCTCCTCTTTCTCCCTTCTTGCCACGTAGCCCCCGCCTGCCTCTTTCCACGGTCGCTGCCTCGGCAAATGCTGTCAGCTGGCGTGGCCGTCGGCTCTCTTTCGTGAGCACGGCCCTCTTCGGATCGGGACAGTTGCCCCCCCTGTCTGGGGGCGGCGGCAGAGAGGATTGGCTCAGGGGGGGAGGAGGACGAGGAGGAGGAGGAGGAGGGGGAGGGGCAGGAGGAGGAGGAGGAGGAGGAGGAGGAGGACGAGAGGGGGAAGGAAGAGGAGGAGGAGGCGGGTGGTGGGTGATGATGATGATGATGATGATGATGATGATGATGATGATGATGATGATGATGATGATGATGATGATGATGATGATTATGATGATGATGCTGTTGCTGCTGATGGTGATTATGATGATGATGCTGATGGTGGTGGTGGTGATGATGAAGATGCTGATGACGATAATGATGACTACGATGATGATGATGATGATGATGATGATGATGATGATGATGATGATGGTGATAGTGGTGGTGGCGGTGGTGGTCGTGGTGGTGGTGATGATGATGATGCTGATGGTGATGGTGATGGTGAACATGCTGCTGATGATGCTGATGATTATGATGAGGGTGAGGATGATGAGGATGAGGATGATGATGAGAATGCCGATGCTGATGTTGATGCTGATGATGCTGACGATGATGACGACGATGAAGATGATGATGATGATGCTGATGATGCTGCTGATGATGATGATGATGACCATGACTATGATGATGATAATGATGATGATGATGATGATGATGAAGATGATGGTGATGATGGTGGTGGTCGTGGTGGTGGTGGTGGTGATGATGATGATGTATGATGATGATGATGAGGATGCTGATTATGATGATGATGCTGTTGCTGCTGATGGTGATTATGATGATGATGCTGATGGTGGTGGTGGTGATGATGATGACGATGCTGATGACGATAATGATGACTACGATGATGATGATGATGATGATGATGATGATGATGATGATGATGATGATGGTGATAGTGGTGGTGGCGGTGGTGGTCGTGGTGGTGGTGATGATGATGATGATGGTGATGGTGATGGTGAACATGCTGCTGATGATGCTGATGATTATGATGAGGGTGAGGATGATGAGGATGAGGATGATGATGAGAATGCTGATGCTGATGTTGATGCTGATGATGCTGACGATGATGATGACGATGATGATGATGATGATGATGATGATGATGATGATGATGATGCTGATGGTGCTGATGATGCTGATGATGCTGATGATGATGCTGATGATGCTGATGATGATGATGACCATGACTATGATGATGATACTAATGATGATGATGATGATGATGATGATGATGATGATGATGATGATGATGGTGATGATGGTGGTGGTCGTGGTGGTGGTGGTGGTGGTGATGATGGATGATGATGATGATGATGATGATGATGATGATGATGATGATGATGATGAGATGATGATGATGATGATGAGGATGATGATGATGATGATGATGATGATGATGATGATGATGATGATGATGATGATGATGATGATGATGATGATGATGATGATGATGATGCTGATGATGATGATGATGATGGTGATGATGGTGGTGGTCGTGGTGGTGGTGGTGGTGGTGATGATGATGGTGATGATGATGATCAGATCAGAACCCATGGGGGGCGAGCAGATATCCCATCCAGCAGGAGCCCCTAGGATCGGGCTACACCCGAGCGTCAGTTCGCGATGCGGGGCCAAGCACCCTCGCGACTCACAGCAGAGAAGAGCCCTGCTGCTGTCGCGGTGCCCCCAGAAGACGCAGAGCAGCACTCATGCCAGCACCGCTCCACTGTGCAGAAAACCCCTGCGTGGCTCTAGAGCCACGCCTGATCACTACTGAAATAGTGGGCTCCGAGGAACCATGGGTCAGGGCAGAGCCCCTCGAAGCAGCTGAACTCTTCGCGCGCTTGCCGCTCTCCAACCTTGCGCTCGAGGGGCGGTGGGCGTGGGGCACTCCTCCTTTCACCTGGCCCCTGAGTTCAGACTGGAGCGTCAGCTCTCGAGCATTCGGAGGGGAGGAGGTTGAAACGTGGAGCCGATGAGGGCTAGGAGACAGCACCTGCAGGGAAGCGAACTCTGGTGGGGCACTTCGCTGCACAGGCCCGTGGGCAGCGAAATCTGGCGGGGCATTTTCGCTGCACAGGTTCGCAGGCAGTTTGGCTCGCGCTGCTGGGGAGAGAGGTGGAGGGAGGCGGAGGCTCGGAGGACGGAGGCTCAGGAGAGGAGGGAGTAGGGGGGGGCTGAAACGGACAACGCGGGAACCGACAAAGAGGACGGAGGCTCGGGAATCGTCTTACCAGCGGCTAGGCTCAGGCTTCTCACAAGCTGCTCAACCCGTCGTTTCTTCTCCTCGGGTGTTTCAATCCTCTGCTGGGGATCGTCACAGACATTGGCATTCACTCCTGCGTCATGTTCTCGAGCTCGTGCTGGCCGGTGTGCAGCAGCCTCTCCATGTGCCCCATAGGGGCGGTTCCCTGCTCGTAGTCCGCGCCTGCCTGCACTAACGACGCGAGCACGGGCTGGGCGTTGAGGCGCGACGTGAAGCTCAGCGTTAGCTTGACCTTGCCCTCCTAGTGGGCGTCCGTGATCTTCGCGAGCGACACCGCCTCGCCCATCTCTTGAGCATTGGCGGCGTTCTGCTGCTTGGCCAACTCCTCGAGCTGCTGCTGGTTGGTGCGGCCCGCCGCGTTGCCCTCTGCCACCAGACCCTCGAACGCTCCTGCATAACAGGCGACCGATATCGTGCCCATCTCCTGGATCTTCCTCTCCGCCTCCTCTTTGGGCAGGGACGACCTGGCGTCCTCTGCTGCTTTGACCCAGGCCTTGACTCGGGCCCTGGCTTTCACCGCCACCTGCATCCCCGACGACATCAGGAAGGTCTTCAGCTCGATGGCTTCTATCTGCCGCTGACGTATCGCAAGGTTGAGGATCAGCCGCATCATGACTGGGAAGAACTTCTGCATCTGCTTTACGTCCATCAACTCGTCGTCGAGCTCGCTGAGATCCACGATCTTCGCATCCTTTTTCTTCTGCTGGCTGGCTCCTTTTGCCTCCTGTGCCGAAGACGCAAACCCGCGCGCCTCGTTGCCACCGCGCCCCGTGCGCGCCGACTTGTGGACGGGCTCAGCGCCCTCGAGTGCCGCTGGAAGCGCCTGCGGCCACGACACGAGGAGGCGGGTGGGGTGGGTGAGCTGCCGCCAGGTGCAGCGGCAGGCGGGGCAGGGAGGCAAACTCCATCGCGCACTCAGCGCATGGGCAAACATACTGCTGCGGTTCAGCCACTCTGGGAAGTTCAGCGTTGATTTGGGGGCTATGCACCGTCCATGCCGACACGCTGCTGCGATCTGATTGATCGCTGCTCTCCTGCACGGAAATGTTGAGGCGCAGGAGGGGCACTGGTTGGTGACCGTGTATCCAGTGAACATGTCAAGCTGCCCCGTACATGACGCATGCACAGCCCGAAACCTTTTACCGCACTCTAGTCCCTCCCCGTTGAGAAGCGAGCACACGTACCCTCCCTCGAAGCACTCCTGGTCCCCGTGCTGCCTGATGGGGGGTCACCGTCGGGGCCGCAAGCCAGAGCTTCCTCAGGCGTTTCATGTTGAGCTTCAGGAACGGGGCACTCAGCTCGGGAGCCCGGAAGACCCTCGAGAAGTCGCACCCTACCTCGTCCAGAAACTCGGGCCCGTCATCCAGTCTCCCAGGATCAAAAAAGTCACTCCTGAACTGCAGGGCCCAGGGATCCAGGGATTAGTTTTGTCTTGAGGGGTCACCGCAGGAGTACACGTAGGGGCCCAAGAGAACTGTTGTGGTACCACATTATCAAAGGCAACCTTCCCAAAGACAGCGGCTAGCTCCTGAACATGACGCTGGGGTCGGCGGACGAGAGCTTAATAATGGCCGAGCCTACGCACCACTATCTCGAAGCTGGGAGGAACGACCTTGATCTTCTTCCACACTGCTTCCCCGCAGATCGTAGTGACCTTCCACCTCTCTTCCTCGCCCTCCTCGTTATGCTGACGGTACACCGCGATCCCCGGGCACAGAGCACTCGCGTAGCGCACGGCGACAGAGCCTAGCTTCTTAGTCTGGTCTGAAGTGAGCACCCTCGCCTCGAGCCCCGAGACCGCGGCGCCGATCACCTGGCTCTGGAAGACGAGACGCTTCCGATTAAAGAATGAGCAGACCTTCCAAAACTTGCCCATCCTCCTCCACCCCATACGCATAGCCGAGCATCAGGCTTTGATTTCTTCGTCGTTCCGTCCCGAAGTTTGAGTCCGAGCTCCCAGGAACACCGAGGCCGCCTGAACTTCTCCAGACATGGGAACATGATGATAGCGAAGGGCACGAGTAGAACGTTGAGAGCCTCGACCAACAAAGCAAGGGCTGACCGTTTTTTTCCACGACTCAGAGCCAGACCCACATGAGCAAGGGCCTCGTCCAGGTGCCGATCCGAGGTCTCGGCCATCACCGCAGCACTGCATGCATCAGGAGCAACCTGCGTACAAGTCAGATCATCACCGTACCTGCGCACCCCCAAGTCGCAGGTCTTCTGCGTGATGGGGCAGCCAGCAGTGAGTTCGTGCACGTCTGAGGTCGGGAAAAGGGCCCGCCTCCACGTTTTGGTGGGCTGTTCCAAATTGAGCCTGAACTTCGTCGCCGCGTCGGAGTCGCCCACGTAGCATCTCACTCCATTCAGAAAAGTGCCGTCGCCATCGTGAGCATTCACCAGGCAGTCTGTGCGCCTGTGCCTGGACAACATGATCTGCGTGTCCACTGGGCGGTACATCTTGTGGACGGTCTGGTCCAAATGCTCGTGGCTCACATTGGCGAACGCGTTCGTCATGTCATGCTTGGTGGTGATGTGACCCACGCTCGCAGCTCGAAGTCGCCACTGAAGAGTGCAAGCTTCAGCATGCGGGTAAAATTAGAAAGCCTTGGTTCGCTAGGGACTGGTTTCCCCCCAAACGACGAAAAGCCTTCCAAAACTTCCCTGAACCCTCCGACAAGCCTCCCAGAACTCTTCCAGCAGGGTTTCCGGGGAGTTCGGGAGGGTTCCGGCTGTGTGGGAAGGAAGCCAGTCCCTGGCGAACCCTGGACTTTCTGAGGGTAACGCACTCTTCGGCACGAGCGAAGTCGGTACGGAACGACGGGGCACGATACCGAACAGCAGTTCCTGCCCATTTTGAAGAGGACTCGCTGTCCGCGCCGCCGCGGACGCATACAGAGAACGGGAGCTGGGTCCGAGGGGGTCCCCGGCAGGCCCCGGACCACGAAGGTGTGGACCGGGCTGCCCGGGGCCCTGCCAGCGCGCCGGAGGCCCTCCACGATGGCCCGAAGGCGGCCCCGGGTTGCCTGCAGACGTGCTTTGAGGCGGCCAAAACTCAGGAGGGGAAAAAACACACAGACACAATGTGGGAAAATATGGGAAGTGCGGGGGAAAACACAAACATAGAAAATATAGGAAAATATGGGGAATCTTTTTATTTGTGTGTATTTATTTAATCGCTTCGCTCATTCCGCCGGCCCATAATGTCGCACCGTGGTCGCCTGTCCGAGTGGTCGTTTGCAGTGTGGAGCTGCGGCGTCGGGAGCTGTGTAGTTGTCGATAAAGTTGTTGTTTTTTCATGGGGCTTCTAGGTGTTTGCAGTTTTTTGACGGCTTTGGTGCCATCGTGGGGGCGTGTTACCCGTGGTATCCCGCTGTGGGGCCGTTCGAGCCGGGGGAAGAGACATCTTATGCGATAGGGGAACCCTCGTGTCGGAGGGTGGCGGGCTTTGAATGCTAACATTGGCTCTGTTATCGTCCTGATGTCCTCTGGCGTTGCGGACACGGGCGTGAAGGAACACTTTCTTGTGGCGTTTCTCTTACCATCTCTTTTCTAATTGGACCGGAGGAGGAGGAGGAGGAGGAGGAGGAGGAGGACGAGGAGAAGGAGGAGGAGGAGGAAGAGGAGGAGGAGGAGGAGGAGGAGGAAGGAGGAGGGGGATGAGGAGCGATGAGGAGCGCCTTTGTCGTCGTCGTCGTCGTCGCCGCCGCCGCCGCCCACCGCCGCCGCCCGCCGGCGTCGTCGTCGTCGTCGTCGAGGGTCGAGGCTCGAGGCTGGAGGCCGAACGCGGGGGAGGAGGACCACCCCGACCCGCGTTTCCCAAGTCGCGTCTGGCTGGAGTCTTGGAGGCGTCCTGGGGGCCTCCTGAGGGTTTTTTGGAGGCCTCCAGAGGGCCTTTTGGAGGCCTCTTGTGGCTTCTTGAGGGCCTCTTGGGGGCCTCTTGGGGCCTTTGGGGGCGTCTTGGGGCCTCCCGGGGGGCCCTAAGGGCCGAGAGCTCCAAATTCTGTTTCGTGAGCCCCCTCTTGGGGCGTTCTTGAAGCGTTCTTGGGGCCCTCTTGGGCCGTCTTGGAGACCCCCTGGGCCGTCTTGGAGCCGTCTTGGGCCATCTTGGAGCCCTCTTGGGGGCCTCTTGGGCCCTCTTGGGGCGATCTTGGAGGCCTCTTGAGCCGTGTAGGGGCGTCGGGGAACCGAAAAGGTTGAAACGCCCAAATCTGTCCAAAACCTATGGAAAAGCATTGTTTGTTTGCCTCTTGGGGTCCTCTTGGGAATGCACTTGGAGACCTCCTGGGGATCTTGGAGGCTTCTTGGGTCATCTTGGAGACGTCTTGGGCCGTCTGGAGGCCATCTTGGGTGTCGTGGAGCGATATTCGGGCGTCTCGGACCTCTCTTGGACCGTGTTGGGGGCGTTCTTGGGGCCCCCTTGGGCCGTCCTGGAGGCCTCTGGGGCCGTCTTGGAGCCGTCTTGGGCCGTCTTGGGGCCCTCTTGGGGGCCTCTTGGGCCCTCTTGGGGCGATCTTGGAGGCCTCTTGAGCCGTTTAGGGGCGTCGGGGAACCGAAAAGGTTGAAACACCCAAATCTGTCCAAAACCAAAGGAATAACATAGGTTTTTGCCTCTTGGGGCCCTCTTGGGAGTTCTCTTGGAGGCCTCTTGGGGCATCTTGGAGGCTTCTTGGGCCATCTTGGAAACGTCTTGGGCCGTCCAGAGGCCATCTTGGGCGTCGTGGAGCGATCTTTGGGCGTCTCGGACCTCTCTTGGACCGTGTTGGGGGCGTTCTTGGGGCCCTCTTGGGCCGTCTTGGAGGCCTCTGGGGCCGTCTTGGAGCCGTCTTGGGCCGTCTTGGGGCCCTTTTGAGGGCCTCTTGGGCCCTCTTGGGGCGATCTTGGAGGCCTCTTGAGCCGTTTAGGGGCGTCGGGGAACCGAAAAGGTTGAAACGCCCAAATCTGTCCAAAACCTAAGAAACAAATATTTTTGCCTCTTGGTGCCCTCTTGGGAGTGCTCCTGGAGGCCTCTTGGGGCATCTTGGAGGCTTCTTGGGTCATCTTGGAGACCTCTTGGGCCGTCTGGAGGCCATCTTGGGCACCGTGGAGCGATATTCGGGCGTCTCGGACCTCTCTTGGATTGTGTTGGGGGCCTCTTGGGGCCCTCTTGGGGCGATCCTGGAGGATCTGGGGGAGTGTCCCGGGCGTGTCCCGGGCTCCTCTCGGGGTACTTTTGATCCAGGGACCCCCTGGGGCCGCCCCGCGCGCGCGAACCAGAAATACTGTTTACCAGTTACCGGAGATCTTAGCACGCCTCTGGCCCGTTGGGCCGGCGAATTTGTGTGTCCCAGGGCCCCTTCAAAAACGACCCACCACGGCCCCATATTGGCCAGAATTGGCGCCGCAGAGGCAGGCCTCCAAGACGCTCCAAGAGGCCTCCACGAGGCCTCCCGAGAGCCTGCGCGAGGCCTCTCCCAAGAGGCAACATTCGCTCATGTATCAAAGGTTTCTGATGGGTTGCTGTTTCCTCGCCTTTTTTCAGAGTCCCAACGCTCACTGGCGGCCCGAGACGCCGCCAAGGACGCCCCAATACTGCCGAAGAGGCTCCCAAGGCGCCCCGAGAGAGCTCCAAGACGGCCCCGAGAGGGTTCTCGGACGGCCGAAGAGGCTCTCGAGCCCGGCCCCAGAGGCTTCTTCCAAGACGGCTCCAGAGAGGATCCCAGACGGGGGCCCCGAGCGACCCTTAGAGACCCGGCCCAGGGAGGTCCTCCCCCTCGGAAGCCCCGAGACCCTCGGGGGCGGCAAAGAGGGGGGTGATGACTAAGGGGGGGGTGGGGTGGATAT